AATTGCATTAATAAAATGCGTTCGGAGTTTATCAGAATAAGAGCTTCGTATCAAAATATCAGCGATATCTCGGAACGCTTCGACTCGAACAAGTCGCTAAGAACTTTCAGGGACTCGGGTCAATTCGGCCAATGGCACTCCCCGTTTTATCATACACACTCCAACACCACGCCGTCGCGACCGATGCGTTGCACATTCTGCCGACGTCGTCGTCGTCGTCGTCGTCCACACACGTCCGCTCGTGACGTCCCTTCTTCGCGGTATTCGTGTGCACTCGCATTGTGTGTACGCCGTACGGAGCCCCTCTCGGAATAAGAGTGCGTGCCTCCTGGCAATAATAATCATCAAGGCGTGAGAGAATGCGGAGGCTGACGTCACCCATTCAACATTCGTGATCCGCTGTCACTATCGAGCGCCGTCACCTCGCGGCCATCGCGATTCTGCTCATTAACTCGATGTCGCGATTTGCTGGCGGCCTTGAGGATATCAGTGGAAATCGATTCGGCACAAAAATAGAGAAAAAAAACGCACGTTTTTCTCGAAATGCAAGCTATAGATGTACACGGAGAAAATTTTATATCAAAAATTACTATGTACGACGGTAGCCGCGGACTATGAAGGAATTATAAAAAGTTTTCGTATATTTTTCACATAATGGCCATAGTATTTGAACTTATAATTCCTTCATAGTCCGTGGCCACTGTCGTACATAGTAATTGTTGATATAAAATTTTCTCCGTCTATAATTAAAGAAATATAAAATGGATATAACTATATAACTTGTAGATAGCGCTGTTATATTTATTCACAATTCTTTAAATTATCTTAAATATTGTCGGTGTTGAAGTTTTTAAAAGAAATTTTGCTAAGGGTGGTGAAGCTTAACGTGGCCTTAATATACTAACGAAATATTGGCGAAGACTTGCCGAGGTAAGAAACGATTTCCTGGGTGAGGCCGTTTCCAAGAAATTGCCTTTCTTACGGAATTTTAACTCAGAAAGTTCATAACTTTCACCCTTCCAGGGCTGCTTTCCCACGAAAGCGAAAGGAGGCTCGCTGAAACAAACAGAAACACGCTTTTATGGGGGGAGAAAGATACGATCGATAAGAGGAACTCCGAGATCGTTAAGACATTTCCTGTGACACCCCACATGCTTCCAACACCCTCGACGAATGATTACAATGTGTGCGCTTTGAAGTTCTTCCTAGAAAACTCGCGGGCCAAAAAAAAAATGTCCCTGTGTAACATTCTTAGAAGAATACTAGAATGCAAAAAGAAGACGAATTTGGACTTCTTGTTAACTTTTTCGTTCGCTTAATAATAATTTCCGTTTTGATGCAGTAACGAAATGAGACGCGCGGAGGATCCCGTTGCGCCTCGCCATTTAAACATTCTTGTTTGCACGAATGTGACGTAGAGCCCAAATAGCTCCAGCTGCGCGTATAAGCTTTCGTAAGCCGGTTTTGAGCTTCGATCCGACGGAAATTCCGCGAATCGCATGGTCTCCTTCTCGCCGAGGAGGAGTTATTTCTGCCTACGCCGTGCTCGCGCGAAACTGCGGCGTGATCGCCGCCGCAGCGCCAGCCGCGGATGCACCCTGACATTTTCGAGACGCGAGGAATGTCTTCTGGTGTCAGTAATTCACAGGCAACCTTTGATTTGCGAAGCGAAAGCCGGTACAATTGCGATTACGTCTACAACCTTCGCTGCTGAAATCACGTGACGATGCCCGCAGAACGATGACGTGTTCTGCAGATAACGTGACCCATGCGCTACGTCGTCCTTTTTTGGATGTACTATTGCAATGATGTCGCCGCGACGAAATGCGTGTCTCTCATACGAAATAGATTTGCGGTTTCCCAGCGCATCCGTTATTCCCCGCAGAACTGTCGGCGTTACTCGAACAGCCAATAAAAACAGGATGAAGTCGATTACAATAAATGCAAAGTTTCGCAATTCGATGAGTCGCTGCACTTCTCCCGTCGTTCGCAGCAGGAAAGTCTTGGATCTTGAATCTGATATATATTTGTATAGATATTTCCGAACTAGCAAGTTATTATTGCGATTGCAATTCTTCAAAGTTAAAACTTACTTGGACAAATTTTTTCACGTTAGTCTTCAAATAAATTACATTTAAAATAAAGATATATCAAATAATAAAGTATTGTTTTTATTTGAGATCTTGCTGCAAAGATTCTTTATTGCAAAATATCCAAGAATTGACAAAAATCTGTGTAAAATAAAGTAAATTGGAAAAATCTGTAGACATAAAAAGAGGCGAATCTAGAAAATCTTGTTGCAAAGGACGGAACAGATATTGTGCACAGATCTTCCCATTTAAAAACCTACAATTGCAAAAAGAATCGATTTCGCGTCTTTTTGTAAAGACATATTTCACATACGTCGTAATAAGTTTGCTCAGGAAACGAGGTGCAGATGATAAATTAGAGGGCTAGGTTAAAAATGCGGGACCTTAACGAGACCATCAGTGGCACACCACACCTTAATGTATTTCGTGATCAATTTGGATCATTGCCCCGTTCCTTCGAACAATGTACTCAATTCCACCTTTCAATTAACGTCGACAGTTCTTTGACATTCTATTTTCGAGTTTAGCAGCCATTTCACGCGTACTTCGTAGCATTCTAGTGTTACAAAGTCGGGAGGATCTGTTTTCAGTAGAATTATACGTAAATAAAAGTAAATGAAAAATTCTTTAACAAAGTGCGAGATTTTGAAAGTAAAAAAAAAAAACATTTTAGAAT